GGTTATCAGGTAAGACGTATAAGTTAAGTATGTACGGTTATCAGGTAAGACGTATAGGTAAGTATGTAGGGTTATCAGGTAAGACGTATAGGTTAGTATGTAGGGTTAGCAGGTAAGACGTATAGGTTAAGTATGTTCAGTATGTACGGTTATCAGGTAAGACGTATAAGTTCAGTATGTAGGGTTATCAGGTAAGACGTATAAGTTAAGTATGTACGGTTATCAGGTATGACGTATAGGTTAAGTATGTACGGGCATCAGGTAAGACGTATAGGTTAAATATGTACGGTTATCAGGTAAGACGTATTCGTTTAGTAGGTAGGGTTATCAGTTAAGACGTATACGTTTAGTATGTAGGGTTATCAGGTAAGACGTATAGGTTAAATATGTACGGTTATCAGGTAAGACGTATTCGTTTAGTAGGGAGGGTTATCAGTTAAGACGTATACGTTGAGTATGTATGGTTATCAGTTAAGTCGTATACGTTTAGTATGTACGGTTGTCAGTTAAGACGTATGCGTTTAGTATGTATGGTTGTCAGTTAAGACGTATGCGTTTAGTATGTATGGTTATCAGTTAAGGCGTATACGTTTAGTATGTATGGTTATCAGTTAAGACGTATACGTTTAGTATGTAGGGTAATCAGTTAAGACGTATGCGTTTAGTATGTAGGGTAATCAGTTAAGACGTATACGTTTAGTATGTACGGTTGTCAGTTAAGACGTATGCGTTTATTATGTATGGTTATCAGTTAAGACGTATGCGTTTAGTATGTATGGTTATCAGTTAAGACGTATACGTTTAGTAGGTAGGGTTATCAGTTAAGACGTATACGTTTAGTATGTATGGTTATCAGATAAGACGCATACGTTAAGTATGTAGGGTAATCAGGTAAGACGTATACGTTAAGTATGTAGGGTTATCAGGTAAGACATATAGGTTAAGTATGTATGGTTATCAGGTAATACGTATAGGTTTAGTATGTATGGTTATCAGGTAATACATATAGGTTTAGTATGTAGGGTTATCAGGTAATACGTATATGTTAAGTATGTAGGGTTACAGGTAAGACGTATAGGTTAAGTATGTAGGGTTATCAGGTAAGACCTATAGGTTTAGGATGTAGGGTTGTCAGGTAATATGTATAGGTTTAGTATGTAGGGTTATCAGGTAAGACGTATAGGTTAAGTATGTAGGGTTATCAGGCAAGACGTATAGCTTTAGTATGTAGGGTTATCAGGTAAGACGTATAGGTTTAGTATATAGGGTTATCAGGTAAGAGGTAAAGGTTTAGTATGTAGGACAACCAGGTAAGACGTATTTGTTCAGTATGTAGGGTTATCAGGTAATACGTATAGATTAAAGGTATGTAGGGTTATCAGGTAAGACGTAAAGGTTTAGTATGTAGGACAACCACGTAAGACGTATAGGTTAAAGGTATGTAGAGTTATCAGGTAAGACGTATAGATTAAAGGTATATAGGGTTATCAGGTAAGACGTATAGGTCAAAGGTATGTAGGGGTATCAGGTAAGACGTATAGGTTAAAGGTATGTAGGGGGATGCTGCAAGACGTAAAGGTTAAAGGTATGTAGGGTTATCAGGGAAGACGTTTACGTTTAGTATGTAGGTTTATCAGATAAGACATATATGTTAAGTATTTATGGATATATATTTATAGACCACTACGCACACGTCGACATCAGACTACTTCCCACAAGTCGACATCAGACCACTTCTCACAAGTCGTCATCAGACGACTTCCCACACGTCGACATCAGACCGCTTCCCACACGTCGACATCAAACTACTTCCCACACGTCGACATCAGACCACTTCGCACAAGTCGACATCAGACCACTTCGCACACGTCGACATCGGACCACTTCCCACACGTCGACTTCAGACAACTTCCCACACGTCGAGACATCAGACCACTTCCCACACGTCGACATCAGACCAATTCGCACACGTCGGCATCAGACCACTTCGCACACGTCGACATCGGACCACTTCCCACACGTCGACTTCAGACAACTTCCCACACGTTGACATCAGACCCCTTCGCACACGTCGACATCAGACCATTTCCCACACGTCGACATCAGACCACTCCGCTCACGTCGACATCAGACCACCTCGCACACGTCGACATCAGACCACTTCCCCCACGTCGACATCAGACCACTTACCACTCGTCGGCGGCAGACCACTTCGCACACGTCGACATAGGACCACTTCCCACACGTCGACTTCAGACAATTTCCCACACGTTGACATCAGGCCACTTCGCACACGTCGACATCAGACCACTTCGTACACGTCGACATCAGACTACTTCCCACCCGTCGACATCAGACCACTTCTCACAAGTCGACATCAGACCACTTCGCACACGTCGGCATCAGACCACTTCTCACACGTCGAGACATCAGACCAATTCGCACACGTCCACATCAGACCACTCCCCACACGTCAACATCAGACCACTTACCACGCGTCGACATCAGACCACTTCACACACGTCGACATCAGACTACTTCTCACACGTCGAGACATCAGACCAATTCGCACACGTCGGCATCAGACCACTTCGCACACGTCAGCATCAGACCACTTCGCCCACGTCGACATCAGACCACTTCCCCCACGTCGACATCAGACCACTTCCCCCACGTCGACATCAGACCACTTCCCCCACGTCGACATCAGACCACTTCCCACCCGTAGACCACTTCCCACACGTCGACATCAGTCCACTTCGCGACATCAGACTACTCCCCACACGTCAACATTAGACCACTTACCACACGTCGACATCAGGCCAATTCGCACACGTCGACATCAGACTCCTCCCCACACGTCAACATCAGACCACGTACCACACGTCGACATCAGACCGCTTCGCACAAGTCGACATCAGACCACTTCGCGCACGTCGACATCGGACCACTTCCCACAAGTCGACTTCAGACCACTTCCCACACGTTGACATCAGACCACTTCGCACACGTCGGCATCAGACCACTTTGCACACGTCGACATCGGACCACTTCCCACACGTTGACTTCAGACAACTTCCCACACGTCGACATACATCAGACCAATTCGCACACGTCGGCATCAGCCCACTTCGCACACGTCGACATCAGACCTCTTCCCACACGGCGACATCAGACCACTCCCCACACGTCAACATTAGACCACTTACCACACGTCGACATCAGCCCAATTCGCACACGTCGACATCAGACTCCTCCCCACACGTCAACATCAGACCACTTAACAGACGTCGACATCAGACCACTTCCCACCCGTAGACCACTTCCCACACGTCGACATCGGACCCCTTCCCACACGTCGACTTCAGACAATTTCCCACACGTTGACATCAGGCCACTTCGCACACGTCGACATCAGACCATTTCCCACACGTCGACATCAGACCACTTACCCCTCGTCGGCGTCAGACCCCTTCGCACACGTCGACATCAGACCACCTCGCACACGTCGACATCAGACCACTTCGCGCACGTCGACATCGGACCACTTCCCACACGTCGCCTTCAGACAACTTCCCACACGTCGAGCCATCAGACCACTTACCACACGTCGACAACAGACCAATTCGCACACGTCGACATTAGACTACTCCCCACACGTCAACATCAGCCCACTTCCCACACGTCGACATCAGACTGCTTCCCACACGTCGACATCAGACTATTCCCACGCGTCAACATCAGACCACTTACCACACGCCGACATCCCCCCAATTCGCACACGTCGACATCAGACTCCTCCCCACACGTCAACATCAGACCACTTACCACACGCCGACATCCCCCCAATTCGCACACGTCGACATCAGACTTCTCCCCACACGTCAACATCAGTCCACTTCCCACACGTCGACATCAGACTACTTCCCACACGGCGACATCAGACCACTCCCCACACGTCGACATCAGACCACTTACCCCTCGTCGGCGTCAGACCCCTTCGCACACGTCGACATCAGACCATTTCCCACACGTCGACATCAGACTACTTCCCACACGTCGACATCATCAGACCGCTTCCCACACGTCGAGACATCACAGCACTTCCCACACGTCGACATCAGCCCACTTCTCACAAGTCGACATCAGACGACTTCCCACACGTCGTCATCAGACCACTTCTCACAAGTCGACGTCAGACGACTTCCCACACGTCGACATCAGACCGCTTCCCACACGTCGAGACATCACAGCACTTCCCACACGTCGACATCAGACACCTTCTCACACGCCGAGACATCAGACCACTTCCCACACGTCGACATCAGACCACTTCGCGACATCAGACTACTCCCCACACGGCAACATCAGACCACTTACCACACGTCGACATCAGACCTCTTCCCACACGTCGACATCAGACCACTTCCCACACGTCGACATCAGACCACTTAACAGACGTCGACATCAGACCAATTCACACACGTCGACATCAGACTATTCCTACGCGTCAACATCAGACCTCTTACCACACGTCGACATCGGACCAATTCGCACACGTCAACATCAGACCCCTTCGCACACGTCGGCATCAGACCATTTCGCACACGTCGACATAAGACTACTCCCCACACGGCGACATCAGACCAATTCGCCCACGTCGACATCAGACCCATTCGCACACGTCGACATTAGACCACTTCCCACACGCCGACATCGGACCCCTTCCCACACGGCCACATCAGACAACTTCCCACAAGTCGACGTCAGACTACTTCCCACATGTCGACATCAGACCACTTAGCACACGTCGACATCAGCCCCCTTCTCCCACGTCGACATCAGACTGCTCCCCCCACGGCAACATCAGACCACTTCGCACACGTCGGCATCAGACCACTTCGCACACGTCAGCATCAGACCACTTCGCACACGTCGACATCAGACCACTTCGCACACGTCGACATCAGACCACTTCGTACACGTCGACATCAGACCACTTGGCTGTTTCATTTGATAATGAATTTCCTGGTTCCTTCATAACCAGTATTAAATCGAAATCAGTGACACTGAATTATTTCATCAAATAACCTTTTTGTGCATTTTTGTTTTCTGACAGCACTCAGACGAAAAAATCCGCAGCTCTTCACATTACCATTCTATAACAGCCTGCTGGTCTATTATTAGCCACAGTGTAAAATATAACATGTAAACGAAATGAATGGATTCAAGTATCAGAGAATTCTCCTCCTCGTCCGATAGTTCTCTCGTTATAGCCTGCTGGATTTCTCTGACAACCTTTACACACAAGCTTAACAGGACGCCATGATAAAACAAATTAATGACGTCATTTAGCTTCGATTCATTTCAGGAATTAATGAAAATAAATTCCCAACTATCTTTTTGTGACAGAAAATCGCAACATTGGGATAATATTCTTAGATCTCCGGCCTTTAGGTAATTTTCTAATGCTCACATTCTCTTAAGACGTATCATAAACAATTAAGTTTTATTCACCCTAGAGAGATTTTCACATTCTTCTCACAATATAACAGTGCAATGAGTGTATTAATACAATTACCACGTACTAACAGAAATGTTTGTAATCAATCAACGATACACACCCTACTTCCCATCGGGGACGATTCTCGTTCACGGAAAGTGCCGACGGTTCCCGATATTGCCTACCCTGTCTACTTAGGTACGACACTGACATTGCGCGATAATGAAACTTAACCCATCAACAGATGTGACGGTATCACCCACAATCCCCTTGCGCAGATTATGGTGGCACATCCGGTCAGACAATTATATGTTGAATTGTTATGATGATTTAACAGATGGTCAGAGATTAAACATGTATCTAACCCCTTCTCAACACACCTACATATAGAGTTGATCTAATGGAATCGTAACAAGTTCTAAAATGGCTTTTGGAAAAGAACGCAAGCTCTATATCTAAGTGATTAATGACGTAAGGTTGAAGTCCATCATTGCAGCCTGTTGTTTTATTTTCTTTGCTGATAGATGCAGCCCTTAGCTTCTAAATCTGTCTTCAAATGCAGTTTATTTTGTTCGGTTGGTGACCGAGGTGTACGTGCTGTTCAAACTACGCTACAGTCACACTGCAACGAAAAAAAGTACTGTCACAAGGATTTCTGATAAAACAGTGATTAAAACAATTGTGAACAATTATTAAATTATTTTTGAAACTTAAAAAAAATATCAGATCAGATAAGATACATAATTCGAATGTATTTAGTAATGATATATATGAACATGATTTATACGTAAGTTTGGTCCTTGACTCAGCACGGAACACACAGGGAACATTATGGAATATCATGCCGTCAAGTCAAAAGTTGTCCTAAATTCTCAGTTAACTTTTATCAAATTTTGATAAGTCATTATTTCTGATGTAAAACATGAGGAAATCTTCATTTTAGTACAACCGATTACCACGGACAAAGCTGGACAAATATGTCATGGAATTGCCAAAGAATAACCAAAAACATACCATGTTGGGTAAACGCGAAAATTGGTGTTACGTTGATCCTTTCCCACCCCGACCTAATTGGTGTTACGTTGATCCACTCCCTCGCCGACCTAATTGGTGTTACGTTGATCCACTCCCTTGCCGACCTAGTTGGTGTTACGTTGATCCACTCCCTCGCCGACCTTGTTGGTGTTACGTTGATCCACTCCCTCGCCGACCTAATTGGGGTTACGTTGATCCACTCCCTTGCCGACCTAATTGGGGTTACGTTGATCCACTCCCTCGCCGACCTAATTGGTGTTACGTCGATCCACTCCCTCGCCGACCTAATTGGTGTTACGTTGATCTACTCCCTCGTCGACCTAATTGGTGTTACGTTGATCCACTCCCTCGTCGACCTAATTGGTGTTACGTTGATCCACTCCCTTGCCGACCTAGTTGGTGTTACGTTGATCCACTCCCTCGCCGACCTAATTGGGGTTACGTTGATCCACTCCCTCGCCGACCTAATTGGGGTTACGTTGATCCACTCCCTTGCCGACCTAATTGGGGTTACGTTGATCCACTCCCTTGCCGACCTAATTGGTGTTACGTTGATCCACTCCATCGCCGACCTAATTGGTGTTACGTTGATCCACTCCCTTGCCGACCTAATTGGGGTTACGTTGATCCACTCCCTTGCCGACCTAATTGGTGTTACGTTGATCCACTCCCCCGCCGACCTAATTGGTGTTACGTTGATCCACTCCCCCGCCGACCTAATTGGTGTTACGTTGATCCACTCCCACGCCGACCTAATTGGTGTTACGTTGCTCCACTCCCTCGCCGACCTAATTGGTGTTAGGTTCATCCTCTCCCTCGCCGACCTAATTGGTGTTACGTTGATCCTCTCCCTCGCCGACCTAATTGGTGTTACGTTGATCCTCTCCCTCGCCGACCTCATTGGTGTTACGTTGATCCTCTCCCTCGCCGACCTCATTGGTGTTACGTTGATCCACTCCCTCGCCGACCTGATTGGTGTTACGTTGATCCACTCCCTCGCCGACCTAATTGGTGCTACGTTTATCCACTCCCTCGCCGACCTAATTGGTGTATCCGAGGTTTTCTGTTTTAACTAGCGTGTTTATCAAATATAAACTGTACTTATATTATGGTGTGTTTTGGTTGTAGCAAATACACTAAACACTGCCAGACACCAACGTCAAACAGCTGGAAAATTTGCCCACGGAAATATGGCATCGTACAAGAAATAAACTGAGGACACCTCAGGACGATTCTGCAAGGATGCGACATTCTCAATAGCTTTATAATAACTCTTTTGTAATACTTCGTTTGCATGGCTACGTCCGTATACTATATTTTAAATGGAAAAACAAGACATTGTTTTACCGAACATGGAAATGGGAATGTTTCTGAAGTAAGCCTCAAACTAAACCACACCTGAAAGAAAATGTTGCAAGACATCTATCAAAGTCCAATACGGAGAACTGTGGCACTTTTAAACAACAATCAGGATAGCAGTCATCCGCTGTTACACTTTTAAACAACAATCAGGAAAAGCAGTCCTCCGTTGTTACACGTTTTAACAACAATCAGGAAAAGCAGTCCTTCGCTGTTACACTATTATGGAATTATTAGGAAAGTAGTCCTCCGCTGTTACACTTTTAAACAAAAAATCAGGAAACGCAGTCCTCCGTTGTTACACGTTTTAACAACAATCAGGAAAAGCAGTCCTTCGCTGTTACACTCTTAAACAATAATCAGGAAAAGTAGTCCTCTGCTGTCACACCAATATCCAATGATCAGAACAAGTAGTCCTCCGCTGTTACACTATTAAACAAGGATTAAGAATAAACACGTGTCTGAGACAGTACGGTGCCCGGTATATCTAACGTGTCTCTTTCTCTGATTCTGTGTGTACGTGTACATTTCGTCAGAACGCTTGCTCTTTCACCGACAATTTGGGTTTATAGGGCTCCGTTGTATCTAGCCATTTGCGTAAACCCGATGTATTTTTGCAGAACTAAGCGACATTGTACGGCACACTCATGGAACTATCATGTTTCAGCCAGAGGCTGATGATGTCATGAATTGATTTTAGTCGTCTTTTAAATGTGCATAAGTCAACTCAAATAAACGACGTAGCTTAGAACATAAAACATAAACTTCCATCTAGGACGATCTGACATTTACTAAATATATAATGGCAGACAGTTGTCAAATCTCGTAAGAAACGATTGTTGATATGTGTGAGTGGTCTAAATCAATTTAAGGTTTGTCTATATACATCAGACAATTTTTATTTAGTTTCTTGGATTGGCATATAGCCAGACTTTTTCTATCCTATATTGGATGATGTTTGCTTCATAAAACATAACAATTACATAAAGGCCTGATATAGTTAGAGGAGGAATTAAAATCGGAGCAGTTATCACGAACTTACTCGGAGTAAATAAGGCGGGAATGGGCATTACTAGGCTCAAGGTCATCATAAGTCTTTACACAATGACAAAGAACAAATGAAAAAAAAAAATCGTGACACACTTTGAATTTTGAATAACTTATCGTCACAGGTTTTATAACCCTTTCAATTATGTTGCCTGGATCAAAGAGTCATGGAATCAAATCCATGTGCATCCCACGGACACAGCGTACGACAAAGGAAAACACGTGACACGTAACGACACAGTGCTCGACATAGGAATCCACGTGACACGTAACGGCACAGCGCTCGACATAGGAATACACGTGGCACGTAACGATAAGACGCTTGACATAGGAATACACGTGACACGTAACGACACAATGCTCGACATAGGAATACACGTGACATGTAACGGCACAGCGCTTGACATAGGAATACACGAGACACGTAACGACACAGTGCTCGACATAGGAATCCACGTGACACGTAACGACACAACGCTCGACATAGGAATACACGTGACACGTAACGACACAATGCTCGACATAGGAATACACGTGACACGTAACGGCACAGCGCTCGACATAGGAATACACGTGACACGTAACGACACAGTGCTCGACATAGGAATATACGTGGCACGTAACGACACAACGCTCGATATAGGAATCTACGTGACACGTAACGACACAGTGCTCAACCTAGGAATGTACGTGGCACGTAACGACACAACGCTCAACCTAGGAATACACGTGACACGTAACGACACAACGCTCAACCTAGGAATATACGTGGCACGTAACGACACAACGCTCGACATAGGAATCTACGTGACACGTAACGACACAGTTCTCAACCTAGGAATATACAAGACACGTAACGACACAACACTCGACATAGGAATCTACGTGACACGTAACGACACAGTGCTCAACCTAGGAGTATACGTGGCACGTAGCGACACAACGCTCAACCTAGGAATACACGTGACACGTAACGACACAATGCTCAACCTAGGAATACACATGGCACGTAACGATAAGACGCTTGACATAGGAATCTACGTGACACGTAACGACACAGTGCTCGACATAGGAATACACTTGGCACGTAACGACACAGTGCTCGACATAACCGGAAACTTCCCGTCACGTGAAAGAGGTGACAATAGGTTAATTCGGGAGCCAAGCAAACAGCAAAATTCTAAGGTTATAAGAAGGAGAGACTGCTGCCACTAGTCAGGTGTGCTGCTAACGGCCACCTGAAGGCCCGCATAGCAAAGAATCAGCCATTTTTGACGTAAGGACAGCATAACAACCGATCAGGGAGTCATGTCATTAACCGCGCCAAAGAAAGATGGCGGCGTCACAATTAGCGGCCCTAGAAACGTACAGAAAAAGACCCGGGGAAGGCCTTCGTCGGTAAAATCCGGCTCAAAAACCGGCCTAAAGTCGAGGTCAGAATCACCGTCTGCAGCCTTTACTACAGACTTTGGTAATTTAAATGATAATAGCGATGGAGAGGAAGGTGGGTGGACATGCACGGACTGCAACAACTCCTCGCCGACCCGGACGCCGAGCTGCTGGAATGCGAACGATGTAGTGCACGCCACTGCATTGGATGTCTGGGGAAAACGAGCAACGAGTACAAGTTCTTGCAAACGTCGGACTCTATGTGGTTCTGTGCTGCATGTAAAGGAGTTGTCCAGAAACGCATTGTGGGGGACTTGAGCTTGGTGGAAATATGCCAGGATATCAGGAAGGATTGCGAGGACAGAATAATAAAACTAGAAGAGGCCATGAGCAAAAAGTGTGATGAGGATGCAGTTCGCAAAATAATACAGGAGATGGTAGTCCCAGGAAAGGAACACTTAAACCAAGCAGAATGGCCAAAGCTGGCAACGGGTTTAAAACCCATGGCACAGCCCCCGTCAGAAAACGTTACGAACATTGTGTCGGAAATAAATGATAGAAAGTCAAGGGAATGCAATATCGTATTATACGGTGTTCCAGAACATACATCAGCCAAAAGAGAGGAAAGGGAAGATCACGATACATGAATCATTAGGAGCATACTAACAACATGCAACGCCATTAAAGGGGGAAAAGACATAATCAATGCAGTAAGATTAGGAAAATTTAACAAGGAACAGGAGAATAAGAAAGGGAGGCATCTGTTAGTTTCCCTTGGCAGCCATGAAGTCAAGAGAACCCTTTTCAATAATATAAAGAACCTAGGGAAAGAGGACAACTTTAAAAGCGTAAAAATAAGCAATGACCTAACAAAGGCTGAAAGGGAAAATGAAAAACAACTATGGGAGCAAGCCAAACTGAAGAACAGCGAACATCCATTGGGGGAATTCACCTACAAAGTCCGGGGCCCCCCTTGGGCCAGGAAAATAACAAGAATACCAATCAAAATCCAGAGCCAATGAGTGGAGAGGATGAAGCTCAAAGAAAAAATCAACGACATATTGTAAATAACCAGACTAACACCTCGAATTCAGAAAGAAATGTTGTGTTTAATAATTTAAAATGCGTCTACACAAATGCAGATCAATTAAAAAATAAACTTTCAGAACTAACCTTGAGAGTAAACCAGATAAAACCTGAAATTATTGGAATCACAGAGGTAAAGCCCAAGATCAGAACATTAAATATGAAAACACAAGAATTTGCAAAAGAGGGCAACACAGATTATACTATGTTGAGAAACACATTGACAACAAAATTGGAAGGGGTATGCTGCTTTACTTACACAAATCGATTCTAGCGAAGGAAATCATTTTAAAAACAACATTCCAAGAAAACATCTTTGTTGAAATAATTTTAAATGCACAAGAAAAAATACTAATTGGCCTGATATACAGATCAGACAGCGGAACTGAAGAAAACAATAATAACCTGAGAAGCTTGTTACCAGTTTAGGAGACTCCCACTTACTTATTATGGGAGAATTTAACTACCCCGACATCAATTGGGAAACGTGGAATAACAAAGGCGATAGCACTGAATCACAAGAATACAAATTTGTTCAATGTCTACAGGACAATTACCTTTCACAAATAACCGAACAACCAACAAGATGGCGAGGGAAAGATACATCCCATATTTTGGATTTAATTATTACAGATGAGGAGAATTTTGTTTCGTCGATAGAATATCAAAGCCCCTTAGGGAAAAGTGACCACAAGGTTCTACTTCTAGATGTTAAATGTAAAACTTCTGTAACAGGTAAAAACACAACAAAAATATGCGAAAACAAGGGAAACTACGAACAAATTAACAACGAAATTATGAATATTGATTGTAAAAGTGAAATGAAAGAACAGAACACCACCAATGAAAACTGGTCAATATTCAGGAACAAAATACAAGAAATAATAAAAAAAAATCTGTACCAACAAAGACCATCAAACCCCACAAAAATAGCAAGCACACATTTCCAGTGGACCAAGAAACACTCGAAAAAAATAGAAAGAAGCATGCTTTGTCGAAAAAAGTGGCCGCCACAAATGACCCAGAAGTGAAACAGCAATACTACAAGGTCCAAAACCAGGTTAAAAAGCTGACTCAGAAACTACGAAAGGATTATGAGCAGACTCTGGCAACAAAGGCAAAATCGGACCCCAAAATGATCTGGAAATATATTAACTCAAAATCAAAGTCAAAAGTGGAAATTGGAGATCTATAT